ATCACAATTCTAGACTTCAGGTTGTATTACATAGCTGTAATCATCAAGACAGTATGATACCGGCACAAAAAAAAGACACATAGATCAATGGAACAGAATAGAGAACCCAGAAATGGACCCTCAATTCTATGGGCAACTAATCTTTGACAAAGCAGGTAAGAACATCCATTTGAAAAAAGACAGTCTCTTCAACAAATGGTGTTGGGAAAATTGGACAGCCACATGCAGAAGAATGAAACTGGACCATTTCCTTACACCATACACAAAAATAGACTCAAAATGGATGAAAGACTTAAATATGAAACAGGAATCCATCAAAATCCTTGAGGAGAACACAGGCAGCATCCTCTTCGACCTCAGCTGCAGCAACTTCTTGCTAGACACGTCTCCAAAGGCAAGGGAAAGAAAAGGCAAAAATGAACTATTGGGACTTCAGCAAGATAAAAAGCTTTTGCACAGCAAAGGAAACAGTTGACAAAACCAAAAGACACCCGACAGAATGGGAGAAGATATGTGCAAATGACATATCAGATAAAGGGCTAGTATCCAAAATCTATAAAGAACATATCAAACTCAACACCCAAAGAACAAATAATCCAGTCAAGAAATGGACAGAAGACACAAACAGATATTTCTCCAAAGAAGACATACAAATGGCCAACAGACACATGAAAAAATGCCCCATATCACTCAGCATCAGGGAAATACAAATCAAGACCACAGTGAGATACCACCTCACACCAGTCAGAATGGCTAAAATTAACAAGTCAGGAAACGACAGATGTTGGCGAGGATGTGGAGAAAGGGGAACCTTCCTACACTGTTGGTGGGAATGCAAGCTGGTGCAACCACTCTGGAAAACAGTATGGAGGTTCCTCAAAAAGTTGAAAGTAGAGCTACCCTATGACCCAGCAATTGCACTACTGGGGTATTTGCCCCAAAGATACAAATGTAGGGATCCAAAATGGAATATTATGCAGCCATCAAGAAGAATGGGATCTTGCCATTTGCAATGACATGGATGGAACCATAGGGTATTATGCTAGGCAAAATATGTCAGTCAGGGAAAGACAATTACCATATGATCTCACTGGTATGTGGACTTTAAGAAACAAAACAGAGGATCATAGGGGAAGACACGAAAAAATTAAAGAAGATGAAACCAGAGAGGGAGACAAATCATAGGAGACTCTTAAGTATAGGAAACAAACTGAGGGTTGCTGGAGGGGCAGGGGGTGCAGAGATGAAGTAACTGGGTAGTGGACATTAAGGAGGGCATGTGATGTAATGAGCACTGGGTATTATATAAGACTGATGAGTCATAGGCCTGTACCTCTGAAACCAATAATACATTATATGTTAAATAATTGAATTCAAATAAAAAATCTTTTAAAAATGGGCAAAAGACACGAATAGACATTTTCCAAAGAAGATATACAGATGCATGATATTATTTAAATCTCACAACAACAATGCTCTAAATGGCATATAGTAGGTGCTAAGGAAGTATCTGTGGTATGAATGAACAACCATATAAGCAAGGCGCCATGTGAGGCAACCTTGGTTGAGAAAGATTAGGTAAATTGCCACAGATCTCCTAGTTAGTAAGTGGCAGAATTCAAACTTTATAAGACAAAAATACCACTTTTTGGCTTCAGTTCTAACCTGAAATTACAGATAAAGACATCAGGTTCTATTTCGAGAAAGAAGTTAGGTCCTTAATACTACTTTTTGAGTCATATTGAAATTTGAATCTGTTAATTTGGTTGTGTTGTTTTGGTTTCAAGCAGCCTTGACACCCAATTTTCCATTATTTCCTAAACAAGTGACTTAGGAAGATTTGATTTAACCTCTCTGAAACCAAGGTTTTAGGAGACTGTAAAATGAAGATGACAGAATGAAGGTGGAGCCAGAATTGGAAGTCAAGGCTACCTTACTCTCCTGGTTTTTAAATAATGATAACTGATGCAAAATATTAAGAAAACACTGTGCAGGCCAAATAAAATACATCTGCAGGTGACATTTGGCCTGTTAGTCACAAGTTTTGTCTTCTATATTTGTTGAGAGAAGGCAGAGAGTTATGACACTATGGCGGTTAAAGCATGGACTGTGGAACCATACTGCCTGGGTTGCCATCCAAGCTCGGCCATTTACTAGCTCTATGACCCTAGGCAACCTTCTTCATCTGTCTGTGCCTCAGTTTTCTTGTCTTTAAAATGGGAATGTACCTTATAAGGTTGTTATGAGAATTGAGTGTGAGTGTGTGCGCACATGTGTGTGCGTGCGTGAGCACCATTTAAAACAGTGCCTGGCATATAACAAGTGCTCTGCAAATATGTTAAATAAAACAAAATAAAAAAGCTCTAAGCTTCCTTTAACTATTTTCACTAATTCTAACCTGAACTTTGCCTAAGTTTGCACATCTATAAAATGGGGACACTAAGGGTACCTACTTTGTATGGTTATTGTCAGGATAAAGTGATTTAATATAGAGAGAATTAAGATATCTACAGTACTTAGAACATTGCCTAGAACAGATTAAGCACTATGTAAGTGTCAGCTATTATTATTATTAATTTTTAAAATGAATGCTTGGCTAAGCTCATGTAAGTCAGTACTGCAAAACTTTAACATATGCTTAGTAGTGTTTACAAGATGGTATTGATCCTAAGAAGAAAAGGCCATAGTATAATAATGGAGCTGAACTTTTAACCCTTCAGTCAATCATTCAAAAAAGTAAAATGGTGAAGTCTGAAAATAGTAAAACTTCCTAATCATTGCATAGCCCACTTAATACTCATCAATAAAGCTGAGGTTTATTGTTGAGGTAAAGGTTGAAATAAAGTTTGAGATAAAAAGAAAAGCAGCCTGTATTTGCATCTATAAAGGCAACTAATTGAATTTATTTTTAACATCTCAGTATATTTTCCATAATAAATCTAAGAAGGAGAGGTAGAAAATTCAAACTCTCATGCACAGTTTATTAGAAGAAATTTCTATATTGGGAAACAGAGTTATCTCCTGGCTCCACCTACTTGGAGTAAACTATTGCTTTGTCAAATATGTAAGAGAAGGAAGTTGTAAGAAGGGTCGGGTCCTGGGTTGGACAAAACAGCACCCTAACCATAATTTTTAAGATGTTAAGAACCCAGTATAAAGACATAAAGTTATTGTGGAAGGACCTGACAGTGTGTGGGTGACCAAAGGGCCAAATAAGAGTCCTAGTGTGAGGGGACTTGAAATATGCAGGAACCTCATACTGAATGAATGGGGATCATTGCAGGATACAAGTTTAAAGGTGCTAGAAGTGGGATTTCTCATACTGACGCGACAATAACTATTAGTGAATCTCATTTGAGAAGAGATGGAAATTCTTCAATGAGAGAGGATAGAGGCAAGGGGAGATCTCACTGTGAGAAAAACAGAAGCTCTGTTGTGAGGAGACAGGATATAATATAAAAACTCCATTGTGAATTTATAAGAACACTATAAAACCATTAGTGATAAGGATAGGTGACTGGGGTAATACAATTGGGGAACATACAGGATAGGATGTTGGGGTTTGTTTCAGGAAATATTGTGGAATTCTGAGTTTGAAAGCATAAGATAGGCTGTGGGAACCATTTTATAAATAAGAAGGGGATGGAATGCTCCATAATGTGACAGGACAGGGTACAAGAGGAGACTCTAGATTTATAAAAGGGATGATCTAATGAAATGGGACAAGAAATGAGGCTCCCATGGGACTGGGAAGGAAGTATTAGAAATCCCAGTGGAAAAGGATAGTGTTTTCCTAGTTTGAGAAGACAGGGGAAAAGGACAACCCTAAAGGGAATTGAGATAAAATAATAATAATAAAAAAAAAAAAACTTAGAGAAAGAGGATGGCAAAATGTGGGGCTAACAATAAAAGAGAACTGCAGGAGGTGGGGATTAGTTTTCAAAACAGATAACAAGGGGGGAGTATCATTAGAAAAGTAGTAATGGTAACTGAAAAGAAAAGTAGTGACCCTAGGGAGGGGTGTGAGATATTGTGGAAACTCTTGTGGGAGGGTAAAGAGGACACTAATGTGAGAAGAGAGTGGACAAGGCATGACCATATTGTGATAAAAGCAGGGTGCCTAGTATGCGGTGTGAGAAAATAATGTGAGGACCCTAATGGAAAGGAGTGAATGCTCCTCAAAGCAGGAGAGCAGAAGATGAAAGGGAACCCCAGTGTGATAAAATCAGGTACTCTAATGTGAGGGGACAGGACAAGATGTATTGTAGGACCCTCATTCCACTGGAGATGACAAAATGGTAAAGCCCACAGGGAAGGAGAATAAAGGGCCCATTTTCACTTTGTGAAAAGGGGAGACCCAGTGGGATAAAACAAGGCATACTGTGGGGTCCTATGTGGGAGAAGCTGTGAAGCACTTATGCCAGTGTGAGAGGATCATGGAAAAAGGATGAATTCCAGTGTTGGAAAAAAGAGAGCTAGTAAGAGAGTACAGGAAATATTTTGGGATTCCTTAGTGGGAAGGAATGAGAAAATGTGGGGCTCCTAGTTGGATGCATTGGTGGGATTCAGAGTGTAAGCAGTTTAACGATACAGGGTGTGTTGTTTTCTCAATTGCGTAGGGTGGGAGCCCCCAGAACGAGAACACCAGGCACAAGTGGTTGTCCTGTATGAGAAAAGGGGGCTCTAGTGGAAAGTGCCAGGAGATTCTTGTGGGTAAGGCCAGGGAATAATGTATAAAGCCCTCAGTGGGAAGCGATGGCGACACGGTGGGACCCTCGTGGGTGAAGAAATACTGTGAGAAGCCAGAGGCTGGAGATGAGGAGGTCTCCAGAGAGCTAAGAACAAACAAACAACCCCCTCCCCTAAAAAAAAAAAAAAAAAAAAAAGCCCTGCAGTGTGAGGGCTAAGAACACGCGGGAGGGGGACACCAGGGTGAAGGGTACGACAGACAATTATGCCGGAGCATAATTTCCCCACCGTAGGTGCCCAGCTCCACTTACCCAGGCAGAGTTCAAAGACGTAGGCATAGTAGGACCAAAGCACAACGAGGACGATAACGAGCACTGGCACCCAGGAAAGTACTCGGCGGCAGCACCGCAGCCCCCCGGACAGAGCCATCTTCCAGCCCCGCCGCATCTTTGGATCGAAGATCGACCGAGCAGGCCTGCCGGCGCTGGGTCGGAACTGCCCGGCAGGCAGCTGGGAGGCTGGAAGGCGCGCTGTGCGGCGCTCCACTGCCTGGCCTGGCGGGAACCGTCTCACCAAACCAATACCACCTGTAAGGCTGCGGGGCAGAGTGCGCCCTGCCTGGCACAATAGGCATGAGTCATGGCGAGGAGGAACTGGCCTTGTTGGAGCGGAAGGTGATCCACCCGGCAGTCGAGGCTGGGCACGCTCAGAGGGAATGCGGTCCCTCCCCTTTTCTCCTCTTCCACCCCCTTGCTACAGCGCTAGATGCAGAGCTGGACCTCCGCAAAACGGTGAAGCGGAAGAAATTTGGGTCAGCCCATCTGTCTTTACTGCACTGCGTCCCCCCTCGTCTCCTTTCTGATCTCTCTTTCGGTTTTTTGTCTCTCTTTGTTTCCCCCCTCAACACAAACGCGGGAGCACACGTACACGCTGTGCGAAAGACGCCAGCCATAGCCTAAGACCGAAAGGTTATCCAACCCCATCCTCCCACTGTTGCTTGAACAATGTGCTTAACGCGTAGTGCCGCAATCACTGCATAGGTAAGTCCATTCACAGGACGCTCCCCTCTTCCTTCTCTTCTTCCCTTACCCCTGAATTTAGCTTCGTCCATTTTCAGAATAACTAAACCTATTGGTACAGAAAAACAAACGAAGGGGACGTTAATTCTGTGAGGGGTCAGGGAAAGATGCAAAGGTAGTAATATTTAAACTGAACTTTAATAATAAATGTTTGCTAGGCAGACGAGAGGGGAAGGATCTTTCAGACAGAGGAAACAGCGTTTGCAAAGACATAGAGTCATAAAAATCCAAAAGTGTTCAAGGAACACCTAATATGGCTTGAGAGGGTGTGTGAAGAGGAGAGGCTGGGACTGAGACGGGGAATACAGGCTGAGGGAACAGTGTGACGGTCCTTATACGCCCTGCCAGGGTGTGTGGACATAATCCTCTAAAGCAGATTACTAGGAACAGGCATTAAAGGTTTGGGACAATGGAATGACATTAGCAGAGATGTATTTTTGTGACTGGCAGGATTTCGGAGAGGAGGATGGCCTGGAAGCTGACCAATTAGGAAGCAGTGTAATTCAACAAATGTTTCTGGGATGGTTGCTTTGTGTAGGTCAGCTTTGGCATTAAAAGAATGAAGAAACAGGCCTGTCCCCATGAAGCTCATCTTCTCCTCAGGGGGATAGGTGTTCAATGACACAAGTACAATAATGGAAGTATAGTAAGATTTTGACATTTATGGATTTGAAACTCACTGTTTAATGATTTTTAAAGGTCTATGACATGGAGACATTTGTTATTTTGCTGAGACCCACGTCTTACATTCTGTATTGAGTGAATTGAAACAAGGATTTCAACAGGGTTGTGCTCTATTCTTCATGGTTATATAGGCAGTAATTTCCTGAAGTGATAAGAGCTTTCTTGTTTCTTCTCAGATTAAGTTCATGGTTGATATTACTAAATTAATGATGTAGTGAAACACAGACTCATTTCAGTTGCAGTATTTATTTTAATAGCCCAGTTAATTATTTGAGTCCTAAGGTTCAGGCATAGATATTTAAATATTTTTCCAGCGTTATTGAGGTATAGTTGACAGATAAAAATTGTATATATTTAAGGTGTATAATGTGATCATTTGGTAGGTATATACATTGTGAAATGATTATGACAATCAAGCTAATTAATGCATTTGTTATCTCACAGTTACCATTTTTTGATAAATATTTTTTATTGAGGTATATTTTACATACAACATTGTGTAAATTTAAGGTGTATATTTTTCAAAGTTTTTATTTACATTCCAGTTACTTAACATATAGTGTAATATTAGTTTCAGGTGTACAATATAGTGATTCAACACCTCCATACAACACTAGGTGCTCATCACAACAAGTACACTCTTTAATCCCCATCACCTATTTAACCAGTCCACCCACCCAACTCCATTTTGGTAACCATCAGTTTGTTCTCTATAGTTAAGAGTCTATTTTGTAGTTTGCCTCCCTGTCTCTCTCTCTTTTTTTTTTCCTTTGCTCATCTGTTTTGTTTCTTAAATTCCACTTATGAGTGAAACCATAGAGTATTTGACATTTTCTGATGGATTTATTTCCCTTTGCATGATATTCTAGCTCCATCCGTGTCATTGCAAATGGCAAGATTTCATTATTTTTATAGCTGAATAATACTCCATTATATATATTTATCATCCACATCTTTGTCCATTCATCAGTCGATGGACACTTGGGCTGTTTCCATAATTTAGCTATTATTAATGATGCTGCTAAAAACGTTGGGGTGCATGTCTCCCTTTCACTTAGTATTGTCGTATTCTTTGGGTAAACACCTAGTAGTGCAACTGCTGGATCTGAGGGTAGTTCTATTTTTAACTTTTTGAGAAACCTCCCTACTGTTTTCCAGAGTGACTGCACCAGTTTGCATTCCCACCAATAGCACAAAACCACCCCTTTTGGTGATGACCTGTTCTTGTGCTGTTGATTTTAGCCATTCTGACAGGTGTGAGGTGATAGCTCATTGTATTTTTGATTTGCATTTCCCTTATAATCAGTGATACTGAACATCTTTTCATGTGTTTGTTGGCCACCTGGATGTCTTCTTTGGAAAAATGTCTATTTATGTCTTCTGCCCATTTTTAATTGGATTATTCATTTTTTGGGTGTTACATAAGTTCTTTATATATTTGGGATACTAACCCTTTATCACATATGCCATCACAAATATCTTCTCCCATTCCGTAGGTTGCCTTTTAGTTTTGTTGATTGTTTCCTTTGCTGAGCAGAAACTTTTTATTTTGATAAAGTCCCAATAGTTTATTTTGCTTTTGTTTCCTCTCCCTCAGGAGATATATCTAGAAGGAAGTTGTCACAGCCAATGTTAAAGAAGTTACTGCCTGTGTTCTCCTGTAGGGTTTTTATGGTCTAAGGTCTTACATTTAGATCTTTAATGCATTTTGAATTTATTTTTCTGTATAGTGTAAGAAAGTGCAGTCCTGTTTCATTCTTCAGCTTGTTGCTGTCCAGTTTTCCCAACACCCTTTGTTAAAGAGTCTGTATTTTATCCAATGGATATTCTTTCCTGCTTTGTCGAGAATTAGCTGACTATATAGTTGTGGGTTCATTTCTAGGTTTTCTATTCTGTTCTGTTGTCTCATGTGTCTGCTTTTGTGCCAGTACAATACTGTTTTGATTAGTACAGCTTTGTAATATAACTTGAAGTTTGGAATTGTGATGCCTCTAGCTTTGCTTTTCTTTTTCAAGGTTGCTTTGGTTGCTTTGGCTATTCGGGGTCTTTTCTGGTTCCGTACAAATTTTAGGATGGTTTGTTCTAGCTCTGTGAAAAATGCTAGTGTTATTTTGATAGGGATTGCATTAAATATGTAGATTGCTTTGGGTAGTATAGACATTTTAACATATTTGTTCTTCTGATCCATGAGCATGGAATGTCTTTCCATTTCTTTGTGGCGTCTTCAATTTCTTTCATCAGTGTTTTCTAGTTTTCAGAGTACAGAACTCTTATAATAGTTTGTATTTCTGTGGTGTTGGTTGTTCTTTCTCCTCTCGCTTGTGATTTCACCTCTTTGGTTAGGTTTAATCCTAGGTATCTTATTGTTTTTGGTGCAATTGTAAATGGGATTGATTACTTATTTTCTCTCTCTGTAGAGAGATACATATACAAATACTCTCAGTAATCTTCATTATTGCTATAGAGAAATGCAACAGTGTGTCTACCAATGCAAATATTGAACCACCCTTGTATCCCAGGAATAAATCTCACTTGATCGTGGTGAATGATTTTTTTCTAAATATATTGTTGGAGTTGGTTTGCTAGTATTTTACTGACAATTTTTGCATCCATGTTCATAAGGGATATTGGCCAGTAGTTCTCTTTTTTAGTGGTGTCTCCATTGGTTTTGTTATCAGGGCTTTGCTGGCCTCATAGAATGAAATTGGAAGTTTTCCTTTTCTATTTTTTTGGAACAGTTTGAGAAGAATAGGTATTAACTCTTCTTTAAATGTTTGGTAGAATTTGCCTGTGAAGCCATCTGGTCTTGGCCTTTTGTTTCTAGGGATTTTTGTGATTACTGATTCAATTTCTTTGCTGGTTATCAGTCTGTTCAAGTTTTCTATATCTTCCTGTTTTAGTTTTGTAGTTTATGTTTCTAGGAATTTACCTATTTCTTCCAACTTTTCCAATTTGTTGGCATATGGATTTTGATAATATTCTCTTATAATAGTTTGTATTTCTGTGGTGTTGGTTGTTCTTTCTCCTCTCACTTGTGATTTTATTCATTTGGGTCCTGTCTCTTTTCTTTTTGATAAATCTGGCTAGAGGTTTATCAGTTTTATTAATCTTTTCAAAGAATCAGCTCCTGGCTTCACTGATCTGTTCTATTGCTTTTGTTTTTGTTTAGTTTCCATATCATCTATTTCTGCTCTAAGCTTTATTATTTCCTTCCACTGGCTTTAAGCTTTGTTTTTTGTACTTTTTCTAGCTCCTTTAGGTAAAAGGTTAGATTGTTTGTTTGAGATTTTCCTTGCTTCTTAAATTAGGCCTGTATTGCTATATACTCCCCTCTGGGGATTGCTTTTGCTGCATCCCAAAGGTTTGGACTGCTATGCTTTTATTTTCATTTGTTTCCACATATTTTGTTTGTTTGTTTGTTTCTTCTTTATTTCCTGGTTGACCCATTCATTCTTCAGTAGCATGTCGTTTAACCTCCATGTATTTGTGGTTCTTTCCACATTTTTTCTTGTGTTTGACTTCTAGTTTCATAGTGTTGTGGTCAGATAAGGTGCATGTATGACTTCAATCTTTTTGTATTTGTTTAGGCCTGATTTGTGACCTAATATGTAATCTATTTTGTTCCATGTGCACTTGAAAGAATGTGTGTTCTCCCATTTTAGTCTGGAGTGTTCTGAATATATATGTTAAGTCC